TGCAAATGACTTCATCAAGAAATAATTGTGCTATAATACTTGCTTTAATAGATTAAGTGGAAAAAGTTCTACCCATTTTGTAAAATAATCGACCACCACGAGGATAAAACGATTACCGCGACGAGTTTTAGGTAGTGGACCAGTAATATCAATACCGACGGCGTGCCACGGTTCTAAAACAATAATCGGTTTCATGAGACCACCTGGTTTTTGATTAGTTGGCTTGTATTGTTGACATAATATACATGATCGTACATAATTAGCAACATCACGACGCATATGAGGCCAATAAACACGTGAGAGTAATCGAGATAAGGTTTTGCGACGGCCGAGATGAGCAGCTGTAGCATGATCATGAGCAAGTTGCATAACACGAAGTACTTCTGAAGCAGGAATAACGAGAAGTATACGTTCAGATGATAATGGTATAATAGATTCTTGACCTTGAGATGATGAATGAGTACGAAATGTGCGATAAAGAGCACCATCAATCACTCGATGTAAACGTGCTAAACCGTAGAATTTATTAATATTATCAACTGTTGGTATAATTTGATGTTGAAGAAAATTCAGTAATGGTAAAAGAGAAGAATCATTCCATTGAGCAGCACGAATTTGTTCATAAAAATTAATATTGTCAGCAAAATGAAGATTAGCTATAGTTGAATGAGATGGTGAACCAGTAATAGATGGTAAAGATAATGGAATTGATAATGAATTTGGTGGTAATGAATTTTGTCGAGAATAATCAAGTAATAATAATGAGCCAGGATTAGATGGAATAGAAGATAAAAAACCATTGTAATTTGTATCATGAAAATTAGATGAAATTGGACAAATAATAGATGAAGATTCAATATCATCATCAGCAGTAACATTAATAGGATAACGAGATAATGTATCGGGTGGACCGTTCTCACTACCAGGTCGATGTTGAATATCAATATCATAAGCAGCAATTTGAATTGCCCAACGTGCTAACCGAGTATTAAGATCTTTAGTTGAATGAAGCCATTTAAGAGCTTTATGATCAGTGACAGCAGTGAACCTAGTACCTTCAAGATATGGTCGATAATAATTACACCCATAAATAATAGCTAAACATTCACGTTCGGTTGCATTATATTTTCGTTCAGTTGGTGATAATGTACGACTAGCATAACCAATAACATGTTCACGAGTAACATTATCATTATCAACTAATTTTTGAGCAAGAATAGCAGAAATACCGACATCAGAAGCATCTAATTGTAGTATAAAAGGTTGATTGAATCGAGGATAAGAAATAATTGGAGCTTCAATCAGACGTTGTCGTAATAATTCAAATGCATCTTGACAGGCTTGAGTCCATTGAAATGATTTTGAATCAGAATTACGAGTAAGTGCTAGTAAAGGTTCAGCAATTGTAGCATAGTTTTTGATAAAACGACGATAATAACTTGTAAGACCGAGAAAAGAACGAACGGCTTTTAATTTCGTCGGAACAGGATATTCACGAACAGCACGAAGTTGATCAGGGTCTGGTTGAATACCTTCTTTTGAAACTATATGACCGAGGTATTTGAGATGAGTCTTGCAAAAATGACATTTATTAATTTTTAATGTTAAACCACTATTGTGTAGTTGTTGAAGAACGAGTTCGAGATGATTTAAATGATCTTCAAATGAAGATGAATAAACAATGATATCATCAAGATAAACTAATGCACAAGACCACTTTAATCCACCTAATACTAAATCCATTAGACGTTGAAAGGTAGCTGGAGCATTATTTAAACCAAATGGCATAACACGAAATCGAAATAAACCGGCATGAGAGATAAATGCTGTTTTGTCACGACTATCTGGATCAAGTGCAATTTGCCAAAAACCGGAACGAAGATCCATAGATGAAAAATATTTTACATATTGTAATTGATCAAGTGTATCGTCAATTCGAGGTATTGGATAAACATCACGTAGAGTAACAGCATTAAGTTCTCTATAATCAATACAAAATCTTAAGGAACCATCTTTCTTCGGTTGTAATGTAATAGGTGCAGCATAGGGACCACTACATGGTTCAATAATACCGGCATTTAACATTTTTATAATTTCATTAGATATTATTTCTTTACGGTGAGGTGAAACACGATAAGGTCGTAATTTGATTGGTTTAGTATTACCAGTATCAATATGATGTTGAACAAGAGAAGTACATCCCTGTTTATCATCAAAGCATTTATGATATTTAGCAAGAACAGATTTAAGTTGTTCAGCTTGAGATAAAGTAATGTCAGTATCTGTAAGATCTAAGTCAGTTAAAAAATCAACTGAATCAATTTTTGATGAATGATCATGATCACTAAGTGGTGATGCATCAGAAGTAACATTTGAATGAAGAGAATAGATAGTTGAAGGTTGAATAATAGGCAAAGTACTATCAAATAATTTATCATCAGATAAGTTTGATGTATCATTAAAATTAAATTGAACAATATTTTTATTATCACGATCACTGGGAATAGTAATAAACATGTTTGTAGAAGAATTATAACAAGATAATGTTGATGTATCATTATTAATGTCATCATCATATAAATCAGCTACAGCTAAATGTTGACCGGGATAAATTACTTGAGCTTTTGATGAACAATTGGCAACTTGAATAAGACAACATTGATTTTTAATGCGAACTAAGGAATTAGCAGCAACAACATGTCGACGAACACCAGTAACTGATGCTTGCCAAGCTTCAGAAGAAATAGAAGAAGGTGTGTGAACTTGAATGAAAGCGATGTGAAATGGTGGAATAGTTCGTAATTGGGTAGAAAGAAGAGGTATATCAATACGATCCATATTGGTAAGATCAGATGAAATTGAATAGGTAATATCAGGTTGTGAACGTAACCACATTTTATTAGCTTGAATATCAAGTACAAGACCAATATTTTTCATAAAATCATTTCCTAATAATATTAAATGTTTAAAATTTGCAGCTAAAACAGCTTTATGCTGAATAATAACACCGGCAATATTAATTTTAACTTCCACCCATCCTATAGGACGAATAGAACTACCTTCAGGACCATGAATATCAGCACCATCCTATGGTGTTGGTGGAATAGATTGATCATCAATAAGCGACCAATGTCGAGAATTAATAATAGTAAGACCAGATCCTGTATCAAGAAGTACGACACCAGGTATATCATTAATTTTAGCTTCAGCTACTAAATAAGAGGCAGGTGATGAAGTAATAGTAGTATTAGTTGTAGACAAAGATGTACCAGCACAATTTGTAGCAAGTGAATCAGTATTAATACATGTAGAAACAATAAATTGAGATGAGGATGATATAGCTGGTAAAGTTGATGTTGATGTATCAGGTGAGGAGATTATTGTCGGAGTCGGTTCCTCCTCTAATACCGGCTCCCTTTATCGTTTTCCGACATAGAACATTGAGATGGTAAATAAGATGATGATGAAGGTTGTTGGTAATGTTGTTGTGGTTGCTGTTGGTTAATAAATTCATGTTGATTCGGCGGCTGATGATATTGTTGAGTTGAATGGTGTTGTTGAGAATAATGAGGTGGTAACATAGATTGTTGACGTGAGTGTTGTTGCTGTTCACGTCGATAAGGTGTAGATTGATAATTAAGACCATTTGGATTGGAATAACAGTTGAGCCAAGTATGGTTTGCACTGGAACAAGATGAACACCATTTATTATTATTACGAAATTTTACCTTTTTATGTCGATTGACAATTTGTCGAGATGTATAAGAGTCGTTGTGCATTTGAGTTGCTTGAGGTGGTGATCTTTTTGAATTTATAAATGTCTGTAAATTGTCATTAAAATTATTATTAGATTTGGAATTATTATAATTATTATCATTCGAAGAATGTCTATTATAATTTGATAAAGGTAATGAATTAAATTGAGAGGCATTTCGTAAATTATTAATAATGTTGGATTTTTGTTTGTGAATATTATCCTCTTTATGTGCATCACGAAGTTTATCATCAATTTTTTGTTGCACAATATTTGTTTCAATTTCGATAGCTTTTTGAACTAAATCAGATAAAGAAGATGTAAGACCAAGTGGCATTTTGTCACGTATATCTTTGCGTAATTTTTGTAAGAATTTTCGTTTAAGATAGTCTGTGGAATTGACAGGCTCAATTTCTGAAATCAATGCTTTGAGTCGTTCAAAATAATCAGCTGTTGATTCATTATCATTTTGCCATAAAATTCGTAATCGACCACGTAATGATTCAATTTTATCTGGAGTTCGAAAGCGTTGAAGAAATAATTGTTTAAATTGATTCCAAGTAGTAATTGATAGTGCTTGTTGTTGTTGAATAAACCACGTGAGAGCAGTATCGGATAAAGCTTGTTGAACAGCACGAAGTAAATATTCGTCGTGATAACCGAAAATACCAGATGCACGTAGTTCAAATTCAGTAATAAATTTCGTTGGCATTTTATTTTCTTTACCACTAAAATTAGGTAAAGTATTAGTTAATGACATTG